CCGTCCATCCATCCCTCCCTCCGTTTGTCTGTCTGTCTATCTGTCCACCCACCCATCCGCCTTGCTTGACACAAGGAATTGTGTCAAGAATTGTGCTGGAATTGGGTCTGTCTAGTTTAAGGAAGAGAAGGACGAGGGGGGACAGGATAGCAGCGTTCCAGTATCTCAGGGGCTGCCCCAAAGAAGAGGGAGTCAAGCTGTTCTCCAAAGCGCCTGAAGGCAGGACAAGAAGCAACGGATGGAAACTAATCAAGGAGAGAAGCAACCTGGAACTAAGGAGAAACTTCCTGACAGTGAGAACAAGTAACCAGTGGAACCACCTGCCTCCAGAAGAGATGAATGCTCCAACACTGGAAGTTTTTAAGAAGAGACTGGACAGCCATTTGTCCAAAATGGTATAAGGTTTCCTGCCTGAGCCAGGGGGTTGGACTAGATGACCTCCAAGGTCCCTTCCAGCTCTGTTATTCTATTCTATTCTGTAATTCTATTCCATTCCATTCCATTCTAATCTATTCTAATCTATTTTATTCTATTTTCTATTCTATTCTATTGTACATTCTATTCTATTCTATTCTATTCCATATTCTCTATTTATTCTATTCTATATTATGTTTTCTATTCTATTTTCTATTTTCTATTTTCTATTCTATTCTATTCTATTCTATTCTATTCTATCCTATTCTCTATTCTATTCTATTCTATTCTATTCCATATTCTCTATTTATTCTATTCTATATTATGTTTTCTATTCTATTCTATTCCATATTTTCTATTCCATTCCATTCCTCCTCGTCCTCCAGAGCCTTATCAGAATTTCATTCTTCAGTCTTTCCCACAAAGGGCTGCTCACCGTTCATGAGGTCTGGGTTGCAGCTGCTGCGGGGCAGAGGGGGATGGGAGTTGTAGTCCCATCAGTTCGAAAAACCCTGTCTGGGGAAGGCTGAGCAATTTCTCTCTTCCCTCCCCCTCCCGACCTGTAGCAATCACAGGCACCTTCCCCTGGGTGTGAATTCACCCGGGGCCCTGTGTGCCTTCTGACACCGCCACCCCTTCCCGGCGCATGCCGCGTCCCTGCCAGGACCCCTGGCCTTCTGCAACTCAACGCTCGCCCACAAAAAAGCCGCCCTGGCCGGAGAAAAGCCCCCAGGCGAAAATCAGGCACGCCCGGGCAGGTAACCGGCTGGCTAGGCAGACGCACGTCTGGGGAATCCGGCACATGGATCCGTGCGAGAAGAGCAATGCGCAGGAAAGAAAAGGAACATGCATTGGCCAATCCTTCTGCCCAGGCGAGGCCGAAAGGACCAAGAAAAAGCAGAATTCAAACTTTGCACCTTGCAAAAAAGAAAAAAAAAACCCCACTCCCCTCCAAACTCACTCTCTCTCTCTCTCTTTTCTCTCCCCCTCCCCAATAGGCACTCCCCCCTCCCAAGACTCACCTTCTTCCTTTTGGGGGGGAGGGAGTGGGGGATCTGGGGGTGTCGGTGGTGGCAGCCCTGGTCAATCCTGGGTGGACCTGGGTCCAGGCGGTGCCCCCTACCTGCCCCTCTGCCAGGGCCAGCCCTCTGCTGCCTCGGTTTCCCCGCCTCTGGAGCCTCCTTGCAGCAGCAGACACCCCCCGACGGTTCCCATGGAGACGGCATCAAGGAGGATGCCAGAAAAAAGGAGATGTCATCTCGGAAGGAAGGAAGGAAGGAGAGAAAGGAAGGAAGGAAGGAAAGAAGGAAGGAAGGAAAGAAAGAAGGAAAGAAGGAAGGGAGGGAGGGAGGAAGGAAAGAAGGAAGGAGAGAAAGGAAGGAAGGAAGGAAAAAAGGGAGGGAGGAAGGAAGGAAGGAAAGAAGGGAGGGAGGGAGGAAGGAAGGAAAGAAGGAAGGAAGGAA